CAGCAGAGATTTAGGTATAAGTTCCACGTGGAAACTGATTCCAGGGCCATTAACATGTGCCCAAACTATAAAACGTTGGCATTTGTCACTTCCATTGTAATATTAAAACAAATTGGGAAATAAGGTATTTGGTAAGATTTTCACAAATGTTCTATGTGAACATGTACTAGTAGCAGATGCTCATGATTAGTAAATGTTCATTTTAACTAGAGTTTCAATACCATTTAATAGGGACTAAAAGATGACTCAGTGGTTTAGAGCACTTGTAGCTAGCTCATGCACTGGGTCCACATTTGATTCCCAACACCAATATGGTGGAATATAACCATCTGTGACTCCCACTCCAGGGGACATGATGCTCTCTTACACTCTTCGCTGGCACCAGCATGGATCTAATATACAAATATACATGCACACAGGCAAAACACTCATACATATAAAACTTTCAGTTTTTTGAAAAGAACATTTAATAAAGGGTTTATTTACAGATGTGTGTTCAGAATTAAACCAACCAGTGATGGACAAGCACTCAGGGGAATTAGCATCTTTAAGTCTGAAAAGCACGGTGTTTTGTTAGCTGAAAGCTGGAGAGCTTCAGCCACATAAGAGAGGCTGCTAGCCATATAGAAGTAGCAAAACCAAGGCCCAGTAGAGAAACAGGAATGGGACAGATTTCACCTCTTACTGGTTCAAACCCAGGAAGAAGTTCCAGGGAATCTGTCTCTAGAAGACAGAGTGAGCTGCTAGACAGAGGTAAAGAGCCATCAACACAGAACCAGTACCACATATATTTCCTGATCTTCAGTTGCTCCAAAAGCAGCTCACCAGAGTCCAAGGAACAGATGACACAGTCTGTAAAACTATACTCATTTAAGTCCTATTGAACATCTAGATGCCTAGGAGCTTAAAATATGTTACAAGTACTGTGGTCCTAAACAGTCAATTTATTCAAACAGAGTATCTTAAACTATTTTTAATCTTTTCATATAGCATTTATTTCCAGAACTCTTCACTCCCTATTCAAACTCATTCCAAATTTCCACTCTGAATTGTTTCCTGCAGCCTCCCCCCACTCCCTGCCCCAGCTTCCTTTGATGTATCTTCCTGGAGGCCCCTTTGTCTTCTAACTTTTTCTTTTTTTTTTTCTTTTTATGTTTTTCGAGACAGGGTTTCTCTGTGTAGCCCTGGCTGTCCTGGAACTCACTCTGTAGACCAGGCTGGCCTCTAACTCAGAAATCCGCCTGCCTCTGCCTCCCAAGTGCTGGGATGAAAGGCATGCGCCACCACTGCCCAGCTGTCTTCTAATTTTAAATCTCTGCGCAGGTGACATGCTGCCACCCTTTGTTCCTGTGTATGTATTTTCCTTCTTCCTCTTCAGGTGTTTTAAACCTGTTCAGTTTAGTTCAGACTAGTTCTCAGCAGTCTGGCGTGCATTACTGATGTTTTTTCAATGCACTTCAGCCTTGGGTTCTTGGAGCTTCCTCAAAATGCAGGATTAGTTTTTTGTTTGTTTTGTTGTTGTTTTAAAATCATATTTGGAACATTCTCAGCTCTTCCTCAAATAATTTTTAGGTTTTTGAGACACAGTCACTATCCTCCTGTCCCACTTGACAGAAGGCTGAGCTGATGTGGCTTCGAACACTTTCTTTTCTCATTGGCAGTGCAAGCAATTGAACCAGTGTTTTGCTCAGGCCAGATAAATGTTATACCAACTAGCTTATATACCAGACTTCAAAGACTTTTTTTTTTTTTTTAGTTCTGCCTTCTCTTTTTATATATCATTAGAATAATTGTTTTTTTGCTTATCAAGTTCACTGGTTTATTTACAATGTCCAAACCTCTGCTTTTAATTCCACTTAAGCATTTTAAAAAAAAGCCTGGGCCAGGCGGTGGTGACGCACGCCTTTAATCCCAGCACTTGGGAGGCAGAGGCAGACGGATTTCTGAGTTTGAGAGTTCAAGGCCAGCCTGGTCTACAGAGTGAGTTCCAGGACAGCCAGGGCTATACAGAGAAACCCTGTCTCGAAAAACCAAAAAAAAAAAAAAATCCTTTCAGTAATGTTTTGATATCTACTAGTTCCATTTGAACTTTTAAAACGTTTACACACACACACACACACACACACACACACACACACCTTTAAAAACCAAACCAAAACAAGGAAAAGAAGGTCTCACTGTGTAGCCCAACCTATCTTGGAACACACTGCAATCCTCTTGCTTTAAAAAAAAAAAAAAGAATTATAGACCTGTATCACAGTTGGCCTTGGATCAGGTTTCACCAAATTTGTATTTATTGATACTTTTTCCCCCTTCCCTTTTCCCTCTTGCTCTGGCCTGCTCGCCCAGGGCCTCCAGCCCCCGTTTGCTCCCAGCCCTGCTCACTCCAGCCCAAATATACTGTAGCTGCCTTCAGACACCCATAAGAGGGCATCAGATCTCATTATGGATGATTGTGAACCACCATGTGGTTGCTAGGATTTGAACTGAAAAACTCTTAACCACTGAGCCATCTCACAAGCCCTATTGACAACTTTATTTTACACCTGATCTTAGCCAAAAGCCTGAGAAATCACACACACACACACACACACACACAATATATATATATAATTTTTTAATATCTTTGCATACTCGATCATATTTGCCTTTTCTGGGTCTATTTCTGTTGACAAATGTTTCTTCCAGTTATGAATAAGTCATATTTTCTTGCTTCTTCTTTGTTCTCTCTCTTCAAGACAGAGTTTCTTTGTATAATAGCCTTGGCTTTCCAGCCTCCTGAGTACTGAGATTAAAGGGTGTGCACCACCATACCTGGTTTTCTTGCTTCTTTGAGTGCCTTTTGTTTTGTTTTGTTTTGCCTTTTGTTTCTTGAAAACTCATATAGATCAGGCTGGCCTGGAACTCAGAGATCTCCCTGCCTCTGCTTCCAGAGTGTTGGGATTAAAGGCCCTGCTGGCTCAGCAGGTGACTTTTTATATCAGACACTATGGACCTACTGTAGGAATTAGCTTTAATTCTGAACCATCTATCTGCTCCACGCTGCCCATACTTTCCAAGTTGTTTCACCTCTGACTGGTAGGAACCTATTTCCTTCATTCAATGAGTCACTTACCCTACTGTTTTCTGTCCTGGGCTTTCTATCTTAGCCTCAAGATGTTTCCTTTATCAGACAGATGTGCAAACTTTGACTAAGCCAAAGGACTCAAGGGAAATCCTTCAGATTTCTGATGTCCCACTGCTGCAAAGCTCAATCTGCTCCAAGACTTTCCTTGGAGCTTGTAGATACTGTGGCCTCCCTCAAAGCCAAGCCTGTCTTAGCAGTTCAGCAGAACTGAGTTTAGTTTTGTATCTGAACACCTGCAAACTGCTACCAGGCGATAGGCTGAGTAATTATAGGGTTCAGCTCCATTTGCCTACCTATGCTGGGAACTACTAACTTGTGTTTGTTTTATATCCAAAGGTCATTGTTACTCAAGAGATGGATTCAACTTAAGTGCCTAACTACATGAATAGAAAAAGTAAATACAGCATGTGTGCATAGGAGTATTATTCAGCCACCAAAGAATGAATTTCTGTGATTTGTAGAAATACATACAGAACTCAAGGACATTATGTGACATGAAATAAGTCCAACAATGAAAGACAAACACCACATATAGATTTTAAACACTAATAATGATCTTAAAGGAGAAAATAAAAGTTATTACTAAGAAACCCTGTCTCGAAAAAAAAAAAAAAAAAAAAAAAAAGTTATTACTAGAACCTGGGGAGGATGTGGAAAGAGAATGGGTAGAGGATAGTAAATGAGTTCAGTGTGCAACTATAGAGATTAGCTTCAAATTCTCCACAGCACAGCAATGTAACTGCACAAAACAAAACCAAGTATTTAAAATTATCTAATAGGAACCAAATATGCTGGTACTTGTCTCTAATCCCAGCACTCAGGTGGTAGTGGCAGGCATATCTTTGTGAGTTCAAAGCCAGTCTGGTCTACATAGGGAGTTCCAGGCCAGATAAGGTTATACAGTGAAACCCTGTCTTGACAACAACATAAAGCTAATAGAGAAGATTTTTTGAATATCCCTAGCAGAAAAAAATGATAAATATATAAAGTACTACACATTATGTCAATTACCCAGGTGTGATCATTACACATTATGTATGTGCATTGAAATGACATACTGTACCTGCAGAATACATACAACTTCCTGATGGCAATTAAAAACCTTAAACAATATTTCACATATATTATACAGTTTCCAGCTGTTTAAGGCAGGACAGTCCATCTGGTCCATTACTCCTCCAGAGTAGAAAGCAGATATCTTCACAAACACACTTGCTGGTTAAAATAGACAACTTTTTGCGGTAATTCATGTATAATGAATACAACTCCCTCACAAAAATCACTTGAGTAGGATCACACTAATTACACTTTTTTTTTTTAGAGACAGGGTTTCTCTATGTAGCCCTGGCTGTCCTGGAACTCACTCTGTAGACCAGGCTAGCCTCAAACTCTAGAACTCAGAAATCCGTCTGCCTCTGCCTCCCAAGTGCTGGGATTAAAGGCGTGCACCACCACAGCCCGGCTAATTACACTTTTTGAATCACCAGTTTGAACTCTTACTCATAGTATCCTTTGATAGCATTCTTTAGCAGTCAACGGGTTGTCTCTTTCAGATGACGTCTCTGGATCACTTGCTATAATAGCTTTTCTCCTGTTTAATACTTGAAACTTCTGACTAGAGGTTCTAGCACTATCTCTAGAAGTACTGACACCATTGTTACCATTATAACTTATTTCAGGTGCACTAAGCTGTGTCTTCTAGGAAAACTGCTTTCATATCGGCTACCTCTACAAACAGCCTCTTTTCTGCATTCTGATTCCCAACTCCTAAAGCCTTTTCAGCAGTAATGGTCTTGATAGACTCTTAGGCATAATCTCAAGAGGTATTAGGGGGACACCTGAACCTGACAGCATCTATCCAAGCTCCCTGCATTTATATGGCCTTTATTATATGATCTTTTTGATGTTTGATAAGGTGTGACTTCTTGTTGAAAATACTACCACACTGACTGCACCTATAGCACTTATCTCTTGTATGAATTGGCTCATGCCTCATTAGATGTGATTTTCTAGTGAAAGATTTCCCACACTGACCACAAGTATAAGGCCTCTCTCCCGTATGGATTTTCTGATGGATCATAAGCTGTGTCTTTTCAAAAAAAGCTTTTTCGCAATCACTGCATTTATAGGTCTTCTCCCCTGTATGATGTCTCTGATGCTTAACGAGTTGCACCTTTTGAACAAATGCTTTCCCACACTCACTGCATTCAAAGGGTTTCTCCCCTGTGTGAATCCTCTGATGCCGAAGGAGCTGTGGCTTCCACGCAAAGGCTTTCCCACAGTCACCGCATTCAAAGGGCTTCTCCCCAGTGTGGGTTCTCTTGTGATGAAGGAGGCTCGACTTCTCAGTGAAGGCTTTCCCACACTCACTGCATTTGCAGGGTTTCTCACCCGTATGTGTTCTCTGGTGTGATACTATGCTTGACCTCTGGGAAAAGGCCCTTCCACACTCATTGCATTTGTAAGGTTTCTCCCCAGTGTGAGTTCTCTGATGTGTCAGGAGCGATGACCTTCCAGGGAATGTTTTTCCACATTCAGCACACCTATGTGGTTTCTCTACTAAATGATTTTTTTGATGTGTCAGGAGCTGTGACTTTTCAGGGAATGTTTTTCCATACTCAGCAAACCTATGTGGTTTCTCTGCTAAGTGACTTTTTTCATGTGTCAGGAGCTGTGACTTCTTGAAAAAGGCTTCTTCACAGTCATAACACTGATAGTTCTCTCCTGTATGGGTCATACAATGTTTAGCAAGTTGTGGCTTTCTGATGAAGGCCTCACCACATTCCCTGCTTCTATGTGGTTTCTCTCCTGTGTGAATCCTTTGATGCCTAATGAGAAGTGAGTTCCTCCTGAAGGGTTTTTTACATTCACTACATACACAGGGTTTCTTCCCTCTATGTGACCTCCGATGAGTAATAAGTTGTGAATTCCAAAAGAAAGTTTTTCTACAATCACTACATTTATAGTTTTTTTCTCCTGTATGTATTCTTCGATGAATGATAAATTTCAATTTCTGAGAGAAAGCTTTCCCACAGTCACTACAACGATAAGGTTTATTTATTGTGTGAATCATCTCCTGCCTGTTTTGCTGTGTTTTCCTACTGTAGGCTTTTCCATGTGTACAGGGTTTCTGTCCAGTATGAGTTCTCTGTTGCTGAATGACCAGAGACTTCCTGATGAAAGCCTTCTGACGTTCATCACAACCATCTGGTTCTTCTACTGAGTGAGTCTTTTGGTGAAGAGCGAGCAAGGACTTTTGTGCAAAAGTTTTTCCACATTCATTGCACTGATAGGGCTTCTCTCCTGTATGATTTCTCTGATGTACAATAAGCTGTGATTTCTTGTTAAAAATTCTACCACATTCCATGCATAAAAAGATTCCTGGATGTGTCGTTTGATTTGTAACGAGCTGTAACTCATTACTGCTTGCTTTTCTATACTCGTTACACTCGTGAGGTTTTCTTTTACTGTAGGGTCTGTCAAATTTTAGATAAAATAACAATTTCTTACTGACTTTACTTTTTTTTCTTCCACAGTTACTTTTTAGAATAAAAAAATTTAAAGGATTTTTTAGACTCCTTTCACATGTACCACATATATGGAATCTCATTTCTAAATAAACAGAGTTCATTCTTGGCTGACATATTTCCTCTAAAACGTTATCTCCATTGCCACTCTCCATTCTTTTAATAAGCTTGTCTTGTTTATCTTGAGGCCATTGTTCAGAATAACTGTCTAGCCAGATTTCTAGAAAAAAAAAAAAGAAAGAAAATAAATGCACCACACTACATAAATCCTTCAATGATTGTAGTTACAAATAAAACTTCTAAAATAAAGCCTACTATCCTGGGAAGAAGGTAAGCCCTCAAATAATATATACTAACTAGAACTAATTGGTTTTCTGTTTGTTTGTTTGCTTGCTTTGTAAACAGTTTTACTATGTAGCTCACACAGACCTCAAACTAAAAATTCCTCCTGACATAAATCTAATAAATACTAGAACTCCAGGCATTTGTCTTGGATAATGAAACATGAAAGTTAAATTTTGACTTACAAAGGTTATAAATATGCAGTAACCTGTGATTTTCGAACATATGTCCAGAACTCAGAAGCAAAAGATTATAAGAGGCAGGTAATTACTCAAACAAAATATACTAGAAACTGAGAATAAACAAATATAAACATAACACACTCTGCTTTTGAATGATATAAAGAGAAATTGGTTGAGATGCCAAGCAAGTAGAGGCTACCAACTTTATATCTGAAAGATGAGAAGCACTAACCTTCCACACCATAATTACATTATGAAAACCCACAGTAGCTGGTAATGGTGACCCACGTTTTTTAAAAAAGGTTTTTTGACAAAAGAGTTTTTCAGTGTAGACCTAGCTGTCCTGGAACTCCTCTGTAGCCCAGGCTGCCCTCAAACTCAGAGATCCACCTACCTCTACCTCCCAAGTGCTGGGATTAAAGGCATACACCATTACTGCCTAGAGTTGGCACATGTTTTTAGTTCCAGTACTTGGAAGGCAGAGGCAGGTAGATATCTGTCAGTTTGAAACCAGTCTGGTCTACATAGCAAGTTCCAGGCTACACAGTGGGATCCTGTCTCAATCAATCAATGAATGAATAAATGAAGAAGGAAACAATCTCAGAGCTAGCAAGATGACTTAGTGAGTAAAAGTGTCTGCTGTCAAGCATGATGGCCTAAGTTCATTCCCCAGAAACCACACAGTGAAAGAAGTGAGCGCACACACAAAATAAAAATGAAAAAAATAATGTTTTTAAATAATTTCCCTTAAGATCATCAACTGGAGAGATAGTTCAGTGGTTAAGATAATTGACTGCTCTTCCAGAGATTCTGAATTCAATTCCCAGCAACCACATGGTGGCTCACAACCATCTGTAATGGGATCTGATGCCCTCTTCTGGTGTGTCTGAAGACAGCTACAGTGTACTCATATGAAAAAATCAACTGTACTTGGGAGGCAGAGGCAGGCAGATTTCTGAGTTTGAGGCCAGTCTGGTCTACAGAGTGAGTTTCAGGACAGCCCAGGCTACACAGAGAAACCCTGTCTCGAAAAAACAAAAACAAAAAACAAAAAAAAAACAAAAAAAAACAAAACCAAAAACAAAAAAAGAAAAGAAAAAATCAACTGAATTACTGGCATCAGTAACTTGACCATCTCTAAAACAAATTTTTGCCTTTAAAATATTTTTATGACTTTTTTTATTTATATGTGTTTGTGCACATGCTCTTTTTGTTGTTGTTGTTGTTGTTTTGTTTTTTTGGGAAAAGGTTTCTCTGTGTAGCCCGGGCTGTCCTAGAACTCACTCTGTAGACCAGGCTGGCCTCGAACTCAGAAATCCGCCTGCCTCTGCCTCCCAAGTGCTGGGATTAAAGGCGTGCGCCACCACTGCCTGGCTGTGTGTGCACATACTCAAGCACACATACACGTTTGAAAATTAAAGGGCAAATTGAAGAGTCAGTTCTTTCCGTCTCCCATGTGGGGTTCAAGAATCAAACTAAGCATGTCACAGTTGTTAGCAAGTGCCTTTATTGACTGAGCCATCTCAACATCTGCTCTGTAGGACAGGCTGAGCTTAGATTGTGATGCTCCTTCTGTCTCAGCCTCTCAAGTTTACTGTTATCAAAGTTTTATACTTATCCCTTTTTATTTTTATTTTATTTATTTATTTATTTTTTGGTTTGTTTTTTCGAGACAGGGTTTCTCTGTGTAGCCCTGGCTGTCCTGGAACTCACTCTGTAGACCAGGCTAGCCTCGAACTCTCGAACTCTCGAACTCAGAAATCCACCTGCCTCTGCCTCCCAAGTGCTGGGATTAAAGGCGTGCGCCACCACTGCCCAGCACTTATCCCTTTTTAATTGGGCCAATAATTGAACCTATAAACAAATACATACATATAACCTATATAAGTGATGCTAATAATAGAAGTTATTGCAAACCACGAGAATGCTTTATATAACTTTAGAATGGGCAGATCAGTGTTATTCCTGATTACTTAACAAACTTGAGACCAGCCTGGAAGACCCTATTGAAAGAAAAAAAATATTTGTATTACATTATTGCATTTTTCCTTTGAAGTACAATTACATCTGAATTCCACATGATTGCTTATTAAACTTGTTTGCTGGGTTGATTTTTCTATAATTATGCTTGTTTTCTGGTGATGGGAATTGAACCAAAGGTCTTGTACAAATACATCTAGCCCTATCTGTTTCTCTTTTTGAGACAAGGACTCTCTATGAATTCTGGACTCAAATGCATGATAAAGTCTAGACTGGCTTCCAACTTACTGTTCTTCTGTCTCTACGTCACAGGTGCTAATATTAGAAGCATGTGCCTCCTCAGGTGGCATTGCTGAACATTTTGAGGATTTTATTGAGTGTGTGTGTGTGTGTGTGTCTGTGTGTGTGTGTGTGTCTGTGTGTGTGTGTGTGTGTGTGTGTGTGTGTGTGTTTTGAGACAGTGTCTCTGTATGTAGACCTGGTTGTCTTGGAACTCTCTCTGTAGATTAGGCTGGCCTCAAACTTACAGAGATCCACCTATTTCTACCTCCTGAGAGCTGGAATAAAAGACATGAAAGTGATGTTGTGGATCACTGTCCTCTGAGTATAACAGAAATATCACCTTAACTGACTCAGTTGAGCTCTTTAACATAGGGCTTGATGATATTCCATCACAGAAGATGGTCATGTTGGTTAGGTCTGGGAAATTTAATCCATGCTAGAGTCATCTGAGAAGAGGAAATCTCAATTGAGAAAAATGTCCCATCATATTTGCCGGTAGGCAAGTATTTTCTTGACTGATGATTGATGTGGCCCACTGTGGGTGGTGCCATCCTTGGGTAGGTGGTCCTGGAGTGTCTAAGAAAAGAAACTGAGCAAACCAGGATGAACAGGTCAATAAGTAGCACTCCTCCATCATTTCTACTTTAGTTCTGTGATGGAAGACTTGCCAGGATTTCCAATAAAAAGCTATTACTCTTTTTCTGAGTGAAAAGGTTTTTGATGGGGAATACATGTACTATCCAATTATCAAATATTAGAATCTGAGAGAAAGAAACAACCAGTGCTGCTGATATGGAGGAGAACGAAATAAAGACTTGATGGTTGATGCATAGATACGAAGGAGAATTAAGTCTACAGATTTGTTTGTTTGGGTTTTGTTTTTGCTGTTGTTTGGTTTGCTGTTTTGAGATGGAGTTTCTTGTGTACCCCTGGCTGTCCTGAAATTCACTTTGTAGACCAGCCTGGCCTTGAACTCATAGAGATCTGCCTGTCTCTGCCTCCCAAGTGCTGGGATTAAAACCATGCACCCACCCGGCTTAAATCTGGTGATTAAAAACAAGAATCATAAGCTAAAATCAGAGTCTACCTGCAGAATTTACAGCAAGTCATTTTATGAACTATGAGAGAAAGAAATAGTAATTTTGTGGTTTTGTGAGTTTTTTTTTTTTTTTGAGACAATATCTCATTTAGCCAGTCAAACTCACCGATAGCTTTGAGGATAGCCTTGAATTCTTTATCCTCCTGCCTCTACTTCCTAAGTGGTGGGAATAAAGGCATGCACTACTATGCCCAGACTCAAAGACTGTACTTTTAAAATAAAAAATAAAGGGCAGGAGATATGACTCAGTGGTTAAGAGCACTTGTTGCTCTTGCAAAAGATCCAGGTTTTGATCCATATGATCTAGTACTCATATGGGTGGATCACAATCATTCATAACTTCAGTTCCAAGGGATAGGATCCTTCTTCTGACCTCCTTGAGCACCAGGCACACATGGTATATATATACACACATTCAGGCAAAATATTCACACATATAAAATAAGTAAATCTAAAAAAATCCAAATAAAATTATAGAATATGTTTATCTAATCCCAGCTACTCCCAGCCTTGCAAATTCAAATCCCACTTGGGAAACTTAGTGAGACCCTGTCTTAAAAAAAAAAAAAAAAAAGCTAGAAGTCAGGCATGGTGGTACATGCTTTTAATCTCAGTATTTAGGAGGCAGAGTCGGGAGGATCACTGTGAATTCAGTCAGCCTGGTCAACAAAGCGAGTTCCAGAACAGCCAGGGCTACATAGTAAAACTCTGTCTCAAAAACAAACCAAAAAGGAGTTGGGTTGTAATTCAGTAGTAGATTACTTGCTTAGCATATGTAAAATACTAGCATCAATCCCTAGAACTGCAAACCCTTTGTGTATACAAACTCTATTTAATCTAAATTAATGAATTGTAGTAAACAATAATAAAACAATTGATTTATATATTTAAAGGTTTAGGAATAGAATCGTGTCAAAAAAACAAAACAAGAAAACCTTAAACTGGGCATAATAGCTTATACCTATAATCCCAGCACTCTAAAGGCTAGGTAGGAAAAGTATCATGTATACTGGGCTAGTCTGAGCTGCACAGTGAACTTTAAGCCACCCAGGTCTGTAGACTGAGAATCTAAACTGGAAAATTGAAAATTATTTAAGTCAGTTTGACTAAGTTACACCATTGCTGCTATTGTGGGGGGCACATGTATATTTCTGCACTTTGTTTCTGTCACACAATGGCATACAGAATCCTTAATTCTATCTACTTCTATAAAATAATAGTCCTACTCCCAGTCCAGTTTATAATTCTGACTTCAGCACAGCATCTAGTAAGCTTTAAAAATTCTGACAGATTCAAAGTTTTATCATGATTTCTAGGCATTTATAGCCCTTTTTTTCCCCTCCCCTGATCCTTCTGCTACATCTTATAATACTCACAAATATTTAATTACAAAGATATTTTCTGCCCTGGGACCTTTGCCACTACAGTTGTCTCAAGATTTAGGAACTTTAAATAAAATTTATGAACAATGCTTCAAATGTACTCACCTGATCCTGAAAGTTTTAAGGCTTAATTTTCACCCTTCCTAATGTTTGTGACTTCTTACCTAAAAAGTTTTGACTTAGGATTTCTTCATCCATAATCCATGACTCTTGCTGGTCTAGCTTGAAAGCTACATCAGGTTTGATGGTTTGATTACCTAGAAATTAGAAGCATAGAATTTGAACCCAAATGCTTTAGTGGTGAGACTCAAACATAAAGAAATTTTATTATAAAGACCAGGAAATGTAGGGCTGGAGAGAAGGTTCAGCGGTTAAGAGCATTTGCCAGGGTTCAGTTCCCAGCATGGTGGTTCATAATCATTTGTAACTCTAGTTCCATGGATCCAACCCACCTCTTCTGACCTCTGTGGCCATCAGACATGTATGTGATGCAAATGCATACGAGCAAAACGCACATGCACACAAAATAAATAAATCTAAAAACACCATTAAAGACCATGAAATAAAGCAAGTGACTGAAAAAAATCATTATATATATATAGAAATGGTATAGAAATGAGGAAATTTGAAATTTGAAACTAATTTCTAAATCAGTAAGCACATCAAAGGAACGCTTACTAGCCACACACTAAATTACGGCAGAAACTCTCACCCAAGAAGACAAGGCTGCTGTAGTTCTCCAACATCACATCTCTGTATAAACCCTTTTGAGTAGGGCTAAGCAGCTGCCATTCGTCCCAGGAGAAGTCTACAGCCACATCCTCAAATGATATCTGAAAAGCACAATCTCTGTTTGATGTGAAGTGACTCTCGTGGGGCCTTGCAGGACACAGCCTTGTGTCTCTGTGGCAGACAACCTCAGTGGTCTCTGACTCCTAGAACTGGTGTTAGGCTTTTAAGTGTGGGCTGACCTCACTGACCACAGGACATAATGACTGGAAGAGCTAGGATGCTCTGTCATAGATTAGGTTCTCAGAGAATGTTAACTTCCTTCTTAAGAGTTCTTTCTCTTCCCTAGGAAAGTCTAGTAGAAACATTGTAAGGTAACCTAGCACAGAGCCACATACAGCAGGAAACCAAGGCTCGAACGTTCCTACGAGGATATAAGAACTAGATCTTCTCCTAAGTGCACCTTGAGATGGCCTCAATCTTTTTGAACATCTGATGTTATGTGTTATTCAAGACTCTGTTCAAGAATCAAAGATATAAGCATCCAATAAACCACAGAAACTGTAAGGTAAATGTTTTTTTTTCTCAGCCGCTGAGCACTGGGACAATTAGTCACTCAGAGATGAATAAATACTATGATACACTAATATTACATTATACTTTGAAGATGAAATAAAATGTTATTCAAATTTGTATAATAGTAGGCTGGGTGTGGATTGATTAACATCTGTAATCCAAGGTACTAGGGAAGCTGGGGTGGGGAGCCAGTCTTAGCTACATAGCAAGACCTCCCTGGCTAGGAGTGGTGGCCTACACATCGAGTTCTAGGCCAGCCAAGGGTACGTAGTATCTTAGTTAGGGTTCCCATTGGTGTGAAGAGACACCGTGACCAAGGCAAGAGGACACTATTTAATTGGGGCTGGCTTACAGTTTCAGAGGTTTAGTCCATTGTCATGACAGCAGGAAGCACAACAATGTCCAGATAGACATGGTGCTGGAGAAGGAGCTGAGCGTTCTACATCTTTATCCGAAGGCAGCCTGGAGAAAACTGTCTTTTGCACTGGGTAGAGCCTTAGCATAGGAGTCCTCAAAGCCTATCTACACAGTGACACACTTCCTCCAACAACACCACACCTTCTCCAATAAGGCCACACCTCCTAATAGTGCCACTCTCTATAGCCAAGTATTCAAACACACGAGTCTATGGGGGCCATGCCTATTCACACAGTGAGGCCTGTAGAGCATGCCTTGTGTACTGTATGGATGCATCACCTGTCAATTAAAAAGCCTATGGACTATGGCTTAGGCAGGAAACAGAGTTGGGATATCTGGGAGAGAGAAAGGCTTCAGGGAGAGAGTCAGGTATGGGAAGATTCAGAGGGAAAGTGTGAGGAGACAGACTGATGCAGGGTGCCTGAGCACAGGTAACCAGTCACATGGCAGAATGTAGGTTGAAACAATTGAGTTATCTAAGGTTTTGTTGTAGATTTGGTCTAACGTTTGCATTATGTTATTTGGGTTCCCAAAATGTCATGAGACTCCATATGTAAGTCCCTGCCCCCAGTTGGTTCTGACTGGTAAATAAAGTCGCCAGAGGCAAGGAGACAGAGAGGGGACTTTAGGATTCACTGGCAAGGAGATAAAGAGCAAAAGGAGAACCACCGTGCTGGGAAAGCAAAAAGCTCAGGCCTGAGAAGTGCAGGAAGAGAGAGAGCACGCCAAACATCTAAGAGCTGCCCCAGGGTGCTCCCCCGACTGGGTCCTGGGTGGCCGGGATGGAAAATAGGTTTTAATAAGTAATAACTCAGGAATATGGGAGGGGAAAGTGTGTTACCCATGTGGATATTTGGGAGTGCTCCAGCCAATGAGCGCTCTCTCACTCTCTCTCGAACTCTGCTCTGCTGTTGCCAGGGCGACTGGACAGCTTTCTGCCTACTGCAACAGCTTTGATCTGATTAGAGTAGAGCCTAGCTATATGGTCAAGGTATCTGTAAATATATTTTGAGTCTGAGTTTTATTACTGGGAGCACAGGACTGGGAGGAAGAACCGGCCATAACTTCTACAAAATGGCGCTCAACTTAACGGCAATTAGTACTCAAGCTTTTTTTTTTCCGAGACAGGGTTTCTCTATGTATCTCTGGCTGTCCTGGAACTCACTCTGTAGACCAGGCTGGCCTAGAACTCAGAAATCCACCTGCCTCTGCCTCCCAAGTGCTGGGATTAAAGGCGTGCGCCACCACCGCCCGGCAAGTACTCAAGCTTTTATACCCTAAAAAGGCCCGTGTAAAAAGTGGGAAATAGTCAGGCTAGCCAGAAAAACAGATCTGGTCTCTAAAAAAAATAAAATAAAATAAAATAAAATAAAATAAAATAAAATAAAATAAAATAAAATAAAATAAAATAAAATAAAATAAATAAATAAATAATGAAAACAGACCAAAGCGAAAGCACAAGAGTAGCAGCTGGGAAGGAGGTTTCCTAGTCAAGGAGCAGGGACCTACAGAGAGATAGTACAGAAGACCTCTTTTAAGAAAGCCCCCACTGAATTTAAAAACAGAACACAGAACTTGGGGCTTCTCCTAAAGGCAGAGCACAGTGGTAGCCACTGAGGGGGAGGAACCAGCTCCGGGTCACACACAGACTGAATGTAGCCAATGCAAGGGTGGATGACAAAACCTGTGGAGACTTCCTGGAGACCACAGCTTCGGGATAAGCCACTTCAGGTTCTCCCAAACTTGGCATGCAGGTTAGCCCAGTCTGATCCTGTGGGAATTAATGCCCTGTGTTCTTGGCATGCAGAAATGCAGCTCTAAGTTGGCTGCTTCAGCCAAAATCGGGAGGAAGGCAGAAATGCCTCTCCTTGTAAACAATGGGACAGGGTTGTGGACAGGAGCAGCACAATGTCTGAGCTAAAAACACAGCAGACACGGGAGACAGAGACAGGCAGGTCTATACAAGAAAGTCAGGAGAAGATCCTCTTCTGATAGATACAGCCACTTGCGAATGACAGTCTGAAATTCAAAATGACATTTTTTTTTCCTTAAAGGTACTATATAGGTTCTTGCTTAATAATAAATCGGAGGGGCCTGAGTAATTAAAAAATGCACATCAATCTTAAAGTTATATAAAGAGAAAGTGAATATGGGCATATTTATTCATATAAGGTTATATTTATAATTTCTTTTTTTTCTTTTTTTTTTAGTTTTTCGAGACAGCGTTTCTCTGTGTAGCTCTGGCTGTCCTGGAACTCACTCTATAGACCAGGCTGGCCTTGAACTCAGAAATCCACCTGCCTCTGCCTCCCAAGTGCTGGGAATAAAGGCGTGTGCCACCACTGCCCAGCTTGTTTATAATTTCAAATAGACAGATAATGCTTTTCTGTTGCCAAAAAGTATTTTGCCCTAGGAATGATATATTTTGCTGATCAATATGGGGACCCAGAGTTGGGGTTGGGTAGAGTTGTTTTGCTTTTATCCATAGAAAAAGAAAAGCTATACTCATGAGAGTTAACAGGGGGTAGAGTTTCACACTAATCTGAGCAGCCAGCCGGTCTCCTTGGAATGTGGGGCTCCCACAGGAGAACTAATAGCAGCTAATGAGAGCTAACATAAAATAGGGAGTCATACTAGTCTGAGCAACGTGGGCTTCCATGGGAGAACTGGTTACAATTCACACTAGCACATGATACATAAACAAACACAAGGAAAAGCCTCTAAGCATATACAATATTACTTGGGAATATGTTTATACAATAAATGGAAGAGAATCTGAATAAAATTGAATATAGAGGATATTAAATTAAGAGAAAAAAGGGCATGTTAAATAAATTCACATAGATAATAATCTCCGGGCTGGAGAGATGGCTCAGCGGTTAAGAGCACTGACTGCTCTTCCAGAGGTCCTGAGTTCAAATCCCAGCAACCACATGGTGGCTCACAACCATCCGTAATGAGATTGGATGCCCTCTTCTGGTGTGTCTGAAGACAGCTACAGTGTACTCATCAATACAATAAATAAATAAATATTTAAAAAAAAAATAAAATACAACAACAAACCCAACTATGAAAAAAAAATAATCTCCAAAGATGGGAGGAAGAAATAAGAATTGATATAAACGTTTTTCAAGGGTACATAGATAATAAATAAATCAATAAATCCAAGCCTTTGATCTCAATGCATGGGAGGCAAAGGCAGGGACAGAAAGGTTCCTTGTAAGTTCACAGCCAGCCTAATTTACAAAACAAGTCTAAGTCAGCTCAGGTTACACAGAGAAACTCTGTCTCAATAAATAATAATTGATTCTGACTGTTTTAATTGTTTAAAATTATCAAAATGAAGGAGGTTATAAGTTCAGTGGTTACGATGATATTATACACTCTCTATGAAAGAGGTCAAAATAAAACAGACCTGGGTAGGAAAGGGGCTACTAATGTGGATCAAGCTATATTTTTAATGACTTCAGACTGCCAAAGGACATGTTATGTTGGAAGAGAAACTCTGTCTTTATGTTAACAGGAAAGAAGAAAAGGCTTTGGACTCCTTCCAAAGTAATAAGGATTAGATTTGGTAGAAGGAGACCCCCTGAAGATCTCAGCTTCAGACAGAAGGAAAATCAAAAGGACCAAATGCACTGGTAATATATATTGTTAAACCCTCTATTAAAACAACTCTGAGCTAGGCGGTGGTGGCGCACGCCTTTAATACCAGCACTTGGGAGGCAGAGGCAGGCGGATTTCTGAGTTCGAGGCCAGCCTGGTCTACAGAGTGAGTTCCAGGACAGCCAGGGCTACACAGAGAAACCCTGTCTCGAAAACCAAAAAAAAAAAGAATAACCATTTTTCTAATTTTCTTGGTTTCCCAAATAGGAATTCTTACCCCAATTTAGCAGGAAGCAATTCTAAAAATCCCAGTCCCTTACATTGGGGTGGATGGTTTGGGTTATTTTATAAATTATACATATGTGGTCATTTTAAGGGATGATTTACAAATAGTTATGGTCTTGGATAGGGAGGAAATGCACTAGAGAGGTTAGATTAAGGATTTCTTTTCTCTCCTCTCTTACTCTTTTTCCTTAGGTAAAAAAAAGGGGATTGAGAAGAAAAAAGGATGGGGAATATTGAAATACTATAAGAAATTAGACAAATAGGGGCAGATTATTGAGTCTACTCTTAAACCAAAAATCATTTTATAGTCACAATCTTACATTGGGAGAGATCTTTATATTTTGATACAGAAATGAGGTTATATTTTGTTACATTGGTACAAAATTTTGTATATTGATACAGGTTCAAGGTTTTCATTGGTATAAATCTTTGTATATAGATATAAAATTTAAGATTAATTTGTTACAACATAATATTTGTATGTTTCAACGCTTGTATAGGTATTGTGCCTATGCAACTCATTTAATAATACAAGGTCTGGTCCCAGTCCTTTCAATAGCTGCTATTACAAACTTTAAGATAATTAAGTAATGCAAGTTAATAGTCAATCAATTGAATGCTTGGTCATATTAGATTGTAGACTCAATTGTCTCAAAATTATACATCCTGTTGCTTGGTCAAATATACTATATATAGATAGAAGATGGTCTTCAAAACCTTCAGAGATCCACAGAATATGGCACTTAAAATTATTTCATTATTAAAAGACGTAGTGAGTTGGCCTGCTGCTGTTTGTATTCTGGTGTTGATACTGCTTCCTCAAGAGGGGTTGCCCTCAACAAGCAGTCCATCATGTACTCAGGCGATCTCATGTGAACCTTCTCCCCATTTCCACTCGTCAATAACAGACTAGAGCCTATGATTAGTCAGTGGAGGGAAAAGGTGGGACAGGAGCTTTGAAAGTGAGAGGAAGGCAGGAGGAGAAAAGGAAGGTGAATGGAGAAGAGAGGACAGAGGAAGAGAAGGAGAAGCCATGACGGACCAGAACCACATAGCCAGGAGAAACCACAAGTAGCAAGGAGTCTTATAGCTGGGGAACAAGTTAGTATAGTGTTAGAGCTGCCCAATCTAGGCATATAACTTATAATATCTGGATTATATGGGTTTTTTACAAGCTTAGTAGGGTTGGGAATTCCAACAACAAAAAGGTCTTTTAACTATGAGACAAACCTGTTCCTGATAATATCCCCGTTCTACTTCAAAGAAGATGATAAGCATCAATAACTCCATATGGAGTTGCTTCAATTATGGCAAACTAGACACTGGCAAAGAAAATGCTCATGCTTCAACTACAGACAAACGGATACAGGGAAGTAGACTGACAATCTCTACCAAGACAGGGTAAGCAAGTCCTTCATAAGCCCTTCTTCAGAAAAAGTGTGTCATATTCTGGGCCAAAAGGCTGAAGATAGTTGCTCTAACATTATAGAGACGATATTAGGGACTGTCCAGGGAATCAGCTGTCTCTGTCATTTCTGTAATTTTTGGAAGCTGTATCCCTGAGCTTCCTGCATACTCAGGTAATACTCCTTCTGAGGTCTCTGATGGGGTTGAAGAGTAGACAGTCATAGTCTTACTGCAAGCTTAAGTTGTAAGATTTAAGAAGATGTTCTAGGTCTAAGACAATGTTGTTAGGATGAAAACGCAAATTAGGATAGAAATTGAGTTAAAGTACAAAACTTTGAAGATACTAAAATAGGATAGATAATAGAATATTTTCTAAAGTTGCCAAATACTAAGGACTAGACATTGTAAATGTATATCATATCTTATAGTTTTCATAGTTGTTATAATTGCATTCAACTTATATTTGAAAGGAGCCTTTTATATGACTAAAAAAACCTGGACATTGTAAATGTTTATCGTACCTTATAGTTTTTATAATTGTTTCGTAACTGTATTCAATTTATATTTGAAAGGAGCCTTTTACATGACCAGTGCATTTGGTCCGTTTGATTTTTCTCCTGTCTGAAGCCGAGATCTTCAGGGATTCTCTTTCTATCAAATCTAATCCTCATTACTTTGGAAGGAGTCCAAAGGTCTTTTCTTCTTTGTAGAATTGTAGAGAGTATCTTATGTACTGTATGGATGCATTCCCTGTCAATTAAAAAGCCTATGGCTTATGGCTTATACAGGAAACAGAGGTGGGACATCTGAGAGAGAGAAAGGATTCTGGGAGAGAGCCAGGAGTGGGGAGATTCGCTGGGAAGGTGTGAGGAGACAGACTGATGCAGGACGCCTGAGCACTGGCAACCAGCCATGTGGCAGAACGTAGGTTAAAATAATTGGGTTTTCTAAGTTTTGATCTAATCAGAGTAGAGCCTAGCTCTATGGCCAAGGTATTTATAAATATATTTTGAGCCTGAGTTTTATTTCTGGGAGCATTGGGCTGGAAGGAAGAACCATCTATAACTTCTACAGAGACCCATTCTCTTATTCTTGTTTTTACCTCCTCCTCTTTCTCCTCTCCCTTTTCCCCTTCCTCCTCCTCCTCTTCTTTGTTTTTTTGTTTTTTGTTTATGTTTTGTTGTTGTTGTTGTTTTCGAGACAGGGTTTCTCTGTGTAGCCCGGGCTGTCCTGGAACTCACTCTGTAGACCAGGCTGGCCTCGAACTCAGAAATCCGCCTGCCTCTGCCTCCCAAGTGCTGGGATTAAAGGCATGTGCCACCACTTCCTGGCTGTTTTTTTTTCAAGACAGGGTTTCTCTGTGTAGCTTTGCCTGTCCTGGAACTAGGTCTATAGACCAGGGTGGTCTTGAACTCAGCGATCAGTCTGCCTCTCCCTCTTGAGTGCTGAGATTAAAGGTATGAGCTTGGGCTGGAGAGATGGCTCAGTGGTTAAGAGCACTGACTACCTCGTCCTGAGTTCAAGTCCCAGCAACCACATGGTGGCTCACAACCATCTGCAATGCAATCTGATGCCCTCTTCTGGTGTGTCTGAAGAGAGTGACACTTTACTCATACATAAAATAAATAAATAAAACTCTTTTAAAAAATAAAAATAAATCAATCAATAAATAAAGGCATGGGCTCTCACTCCCAGTCAAGTAAGAAGATTTCATGTGAGTGTATGGGCTAAATTCTCAAGTATATTTTGTAAACAAAACAAAACACCTATTATTTTTGTTTCCTCTCCTACCTACTTTTAAATAGGATCTTACTATGTAACCCAGGTTGGCAGGAGCTCACAATGTACCCTATGCTAGCCTCAAACTCTTGATCCTCTTAACCTAGCCTTTCAAATATGCTCTAAAAACAGAATGACCCAGGGATTTAGGCTATGTGATGATACAAAGGTTATCGGTTTTTTACTAAAGATAATGGTAATGGTCTTTGGTCTAAAAGAGACCCTGTCTGAAACAAAGCAAAAACAGACAAACTTCATATGAAACAAATGATCTAGACCAGATTAAGAACTCCAAGCAGGATCCCTATCAGTGTAGCTGCATATCTGTTCTCACACTGTACATTCCCATTTCAATCTGGGACTAAGTTCTGTGGATATTCTCATCTTACTGACGCTGTTCCAGCGTAAAGACCTTGAAATCACTCCAGCTTGCTGGCCACATTCTGAAGTCAGGAACTGGAACTAGGGGAAAGGTATTCAAATAGAACTTGGAAGCTGTCTGGCTCTCCAATGGGTTGAGCAATCTTTTCCTGGTAAGGCAACTGCTAAGACTCATTCAAGCCATGAAATTCAAGAACTCTTGGTCTTCTTGCTTTCTGAATGCAGGGACTATATGAATCAACCATGCCCATCTCAAGGTCATGGTTGCATGCCTTCGTGCATTCCTAGCATAGGTGGTTTCTTTGAGGTCTTGGGGTGCTTCTATCCAGACCTCCTGAGGACACTTGTCTTCATTCTGACTCTGGACCCAGTACTTCTCCATTCCCCCCTTTCTCCAGTTCTCACTCTATACTCCAGGTCTACAAAACTCAGAGACATTGTATTCAGAGCTCCTCCCTCAGTAAGTAGTGAGATATCCCCTCATTTGTGCCAATGGTTAGATCAATTTCAAGGGAAGTTGGGAGGTATTTCTTGGGTTTTAGGTTCTCCTTTATCTCATTGCAGAAGTGATACAAGACCAACTCGTTATTCTTTGTGGTTTGCTGCTTTAACTTTAAATGACCACTTGGCACCTAAAGCTTAGCTTCATTAGTCCATCTATTGATTAGTATTATTTGTCCATCTATTGATTAGTATTAGGTGAAGGGCTATAATGACCACCCATCCTGCTACATGACTTAATTCTCTTTCTTTAAACCATAACCTAAACTAATGTGTATTTAAGACTCCTGTCTTAGTTTCTAAAACAGTGGTCCAAGTTCTTTAAATTCATGTTTTAAGCTCATATCAAGGAATTCTGTACAAACCAATCTGGGAAATATAACAATTTCAGGGTTGCTACTGGGGAACTTGTTTCCTAGACCATCCATTTAAATAGCTATTAAATAGTTTTAATATTTTCTTTTATTATAATGAAAATCTATTTAGTCTAAACCTAAGACCTTTCTTGTTGCAGATTCATGTAAGCCTCATCAACTCTGAGTAGAAAAAAAAATCATGCCGTAGGATATAAATAACTCACCTTTGATTCTGTCATCTTCTGCTATACTTAAGAAACTCAAGGTGTCATGACTTTTTTCTGTCCTGATTCCAGAGAGAAATGTTTGGAACCTAAGAACACATTCTCATTCTTGAGTCAACCTTTTATTTGTCTCATAGGAACTGTTTTATTCCTGTGAGATGTGGCCTGTGGAGAAACAAGATACATTATGTTAGTAAGTATCATTACGTTGGAGGTGCGAATCTTGGTTTTCTCTTAATGGGAACTCAGATAATTTAAAGCCTCAGGCTAAATGTCACAAATGAAAGAAATTGGAGTTTGGCATCCATGGCTGTCCTGGAACTCACTCTGCAGACCCGGCTGCCCACAAACTCAGAGATCTGCTTGATTCTGCCTCCCAAGAGCAGGGGTTAAAAGCATACACCACCACAAGCTTAGATTTTGTTTTAAGAGAACTAAAAGTTGCCGGCGGTGGTGGCGCACACCTTTAATCCCAGCACTTGGGAGGCAGAGGCAGGCGGATTTCTGAGTTCGAGAGTTCGAGGCTAGCCTGGTCTACAGAGTGAGTTCCCGGACAGCCAGGGCTACTCAGAGAAACCCTGTCTCGAAAAAACAAAAACAAAAAGAACTAAAAGTTGTACAAAGAACTAGGTACAGTCAAGTGGGATTAAAGTATGTGGTGGAGCACAAATAGGAATGTCTTTCTGCTTAGGGGGAGTTTGTGTAGAGCACAGGATTCAAGAAACTGGGGAAAAACTCAATCAGTTTGTTTAAAAACCTTTCTGTTGGGACTGATAGGTAGGTAGTGAAGTTAATCTTCCGAGGCAAGCATGAAAATGAAGAGGACCACTTTCAGGTTTGTCATTGCTAACAAAGGAGTACAACCAGACCTAAGCACTATTGTACTCAGATGATAATTCTTTACAGTGAGCCTCTTCTAGAATCCAAAAGGTGAAAGCCTTCATAATTTCTGCTGTTTCTCAGGAAAACAGGGTCCTATGGCACCCAAATGACTGACCATTACTGCCTCCACCAACAAAAAGAGTACGCATATATGCCGCCCAGGACTCACTGGTTTACAAATCTACAAAGCAACCCCTTACCACCCCCCAAGGACTTGTCTGGGGAATTCCACTAGTCCTTCATATTCCTAGGATCGACACCTATTCTCTCAGGCCAGAATGTTCTGATGTTCAGATGTTCCCCCATCTAATCCGTGTGAGTCACTTTCCCAGACAGGGTGCAGCGTCAGTGACGACACCCCCATCTTCCCCCATCCCCATCCCGCACTCCCTCCCCCAACCCTCACTCCCACCTTCAGCATCCTCTCCTTGCCCCAACTTCCTTCCAGGCGTTTGGTCGCTATCTCACAGAATGCCCCAGGCCGCCCCTCACCTTAATCCTCCCCAAAACCAAGACCCCAAAAATGCCATTCTGCACATGCGCAATGATCCTCTCCAAGGGCTCTGCGCTGGTTCCAATCAGAACCTAAACGCTGTTTGAGTTTGCCAAAGACCAGCATGGACACAGACTTAGCTCCCGCAGGACCACGTCATCTGTCACTCGCTTCACTAGCGCTTACTGCAGACCTGACAAGTGCAGAGTCGTTGTGGCCCAGTAGAGGAGGTGTCCATGCAGGACTACATTTCCCAGAGATCCACTGGCGCAAGTATGCCTGGGACTGAAGGGTGGGCTACACTTCCGGACCCCTCCACACACACACACCCCCCCCAACCCCGGCCCCAACACAGCCTTCTTGTTTCCTTAAGATGTCATCAGCAATGGCCTTTACCACCTTATTGTCTCACTGGCCTGAAATATTTTTTTTAACTCTTTTTTAATTTAAAAATGTATTTGTTTATTTCATGTGTATTAGTGTTCTTCCTCACATGCTTGTGCACCAGCTTAGTACCTACAGAGTCCAGAAGGAGGGTGTTGAATCCTCCTAAGACTGCAAACTCTCATGTGGGTGCTGGGAATTAAATTTGTGTCCTCGGGCTGGGCGGTGGTGGTGCACGCCTTTAATCCCAGGGTAGAGGCAGGTGGATTTCTGAGTTCGAGAGTTCGAGGCTAGCCTGGTTACAGACAGAGTGAGTTCCAGGACAGCCAGGACTACACAGAGAAACCCTGTCTCGAAAAACCAAAAAAATAAAAAAATAAAAAAGATAAAAAATAAAATAAATAAATTTGTGTCCTCTGGAAACGCACCACTGAGCCATCTTTCCAGCACCCAAAGGAGATAATTTTTTTGTTTTTGTTTTTCGAGACAGGGTTTCCCTGTGTAGCCCTGGCTGTCCTGGAATTCACTCTGTAGACCAGGCTGGCCTCGAACTCAGAAATCTGCCTGCCTCTGCCTCCCAAGTGCTGGGATTAAAGGCGTACGCCACCACCAACCGGCTAAAAGGAGATAATTTAAAGGAAGAATTCACTAACTTTAAAATATCTCAAGGATGGAAAAAAGATGAAGTAACCCACAACCAAACTTCTGACCGATCTCAGGGCGTCTTGTGGAGGAGTTGGGAATAGGATTGAGCACGCCGGAGGGACATCACAAGAAAACTTATAGGGTCAACTAGCCTGGGTCCATGGGGGCTCTCAGAGACCGAACCACCAACTACAAAGCTTGCAGGGGCAGGATTTACACATTTGTAGCAGATGTTCAGCTTGGTTTTCATTTAGTTCCCCTAACAATTGGAGGGGTGGAGGGTTGTCTCTGAGTCTGTTGTCTGCCAGTGGATTTCCCTTCCCTTAGCTGGACTGCCTGGTTGGGCTTCAGTGAGAGAGGATATGTTTAGTCTTTGTGCAACTTGATGTCCCAGGGCAGGTGGTACCCAAGGGATTCTTCCGCTCAAGAAGGAAAGGGGGTAATGGTGGAGGGCTTTGTGAAGGTGGGACAGCAAGGAGAGGAGAGGGGGCTGTGATTGGTATGTAAAGTGAATAACTAAAAACATTAATGAAAAAAAGAAAAGAAATGGAAAGAGACTGGGTTAGAACTAGGCTCAGTCTTTTCTCATAGTGCTCTGATAATAACTACTTTTATGGACTAAGAGGTCTATATCAAAGAGGCCCAGACCAGTAATTAAGGGCCTCCTACTAGGCTCAACCTATTAAAGTTGCACAGCACCAATACTAACATCCTAAGATTGAAGCCTCCAATCACAATGGACGCTAAGAAACTATCAAATCATATCTAAATTATAGCAAGCCTAAAATGTGTACATAAAAATAGTGTAAGTCCCCCCCCAAAAAAAATGGCTCAGAGGGCACTTGCCACAAAGCCTGATGACCTGAGTTCCATCCATAATGGAAGAAGAGAACCATCTCCCAAAAGCTGTTCTCTGTCCTTCACATGCACACTGTGGCACATGTGTGTGTGCACAACCATGCACATATAGTAAATAAATAATTCCACAGGACCCAGGTTAGGGTCCCAGCACTCACATGGTGGCTAACAGCTGTCTGTAACTCTAGTCTCAGGGAATCCAACGCACTCTTTTGGCTTCCAAGGGCACCATGTATGCAAACAGTGCCCCATCTGCATAAAGATAAAGCAGCTATATGAATAAAACAAATTAAATATGATTCTTATTTACAGAAGTCATGTGGAATCACATGATAAAAGACCATTCACCTTAGAGTCAGAGCAAGATATAGCCTCAAGGCCATACATACCTCCAAAGGTTTCAACTATTTTTTTATTTTTATTTGTTTGTTTGGTTTTTTTAGTTTGTTTATTCATTTGTCAGGTTCTTAAGGTCCAGGCTAGCTTTGAACTCTTTATCCTTTTCCTTAGACTCTTGAATTCAGGGATTACGGACATATTGTTGGGTAATAACCTCAAGTCATAAGGAATTGAGTCAGGCTGTACTGAGCAATATATCTCCTCAACATAAAGAATCTTTTGGGCCCCAGATTGACTGTTCATTCTATCTGTAGAAACAATATTCCTATGTATCAAAGCAAACCACCTTGCTAATCTACCCTAGCCCTACTAAATGTCGTCAAGTTTCATCCTATAGAAAGTTTGGGCCCTTTGCGTTCCAATAATGCCAGCTCATCCTGCTGGTATCAAGTCTGTTTGCCTCTGTCTGCCTGCCTCTCTACCTCATTTTTAAAATATACATCATCATACCTTATTGAGGGGGCTTTTGGAGGTCCTGCTTGGGATTTAAGATAAAGACGCGCCGGGAGGTGGTGGTGCACGCCTTTAATCCCAGCACTTGGGAGGCAGAGACAGGCGGATTTCTGAGTTTGAGTACAGCCTGATCTAAAGAGTGAGTTCCAGAACAGCCAGAACTACACAGAGAAACCCTGTCTCAAAAAACCAAAAAAAAAAAAAAAAAAAAAGATAAAGACACAAAGATATCTGCATAATATAAGCCTGGTTTTTTGTTGTTGTTGTTTTGTTTTGTTTTGCTGGGAGCAGTCTCCTGAGCTAGCCATCCAGACTCCTCTGCCACCAAATCTCTGGAGTGGGCCTCCCTGCTCCACTCCACCTCCAGCTTCAGTCTCCAACTCTTTACTCATCAAAAGCCACTCCTCCTTCCTAATACAAAAGGCTTTTTAGCATAGTGGGAAAGATTTCAAAGTTCACTCACTTTGAACCAGTCAGCAACAGGACTACACCACATATTAGCACATTAGAGTGGTCTTACAGCTTACTCTGAACCAATCAGCAGCAGGACTATGCCCCTATATCTCAGTGTTGCTTTTGACTAGCTAAGAAGTCCACAAACATTTAAATATAGAAAGGTCTTGTGGGTTATAAAAATGACAATATCACATATCCCACCAGCACTGGCGCTTCTGACACAGCAGTTAACAATCGAGCATACAGGGGCACACATTCATAGCCAGTTGATTCAATATGTGTGGGGGTAGGTCCCAACAATACCTGGCTTTTATTTTTCATTTGCTTTTGAGACAGAGCCTAACTACATAGTCTATGGTATCAAATACATCATCCTCTTGCCTCAGTGTCCTAAGAGCTGAGATTATTGTCTTGTGCTACCAAGCCCAGCACTACTTCTTACCAA